TCATTTTCATCTTTCTTTCCATGGCTTCCTTTTCATGGCTTGCCTTCCATCTCCAAAATGAATTCGATTTGTTGAATCAATCGGCCGAGCTCGAGAAAAGGAAGGACAAGCTCGAGTGTCTTGTTCAATTCTCAAACTCATTCTTCATGGTAGCCATTGTTATCACTTATCTTTGTTTGTGTTGGAATATTTTTTTATGATATAATTTTTGATATTTTGCTTTTCTTCAAATTTATTGTAGGATGTAAAATGTCAAGGTTGGTTGCTTCAATATGTAAGTCCCATATGAATCCCTATGTATTTCTTTGAGGAAAAATTTAGTTTTTGAATTTCTGTGTGGTTCATTAATATTGAAAATTTATATAGGCAGAATCATTGTATTCACTCACTTCCAAATGGTTGTGGTTTGTAGGAATTGCCAGACGATTTTGTGGCTTCCAACTGGTGGAAGAGCTAGACTAATGGAGCTTGTTTGATGCAGTTACTAGAGTCTTTTTATGGTCTTTATTAAAATTTAAATCTGGAAAATAAATTAATTTAATTTTTTTATTCATAATTTTTTAGGACATTCTATCGCAAATTCAACAGTTGACTGTGATGGTATTTATTATCCCATCGCCAATTGCGACGAAATTTTTAAATATTTCATCGCAAATTGCAACGGTATTTTTGTAAGTCGATGCATATTTTTGACGCATTTTTGTGACGATATGTTAATATTTTTTCATCGCAAATTTGCAATAAAAATTTGCGAAGAATTTTTCGTCGCAGATTGCGACGATATCAGTCTACATTCAGCGCAATCTTTTGCGACGAAAAATCTTGTTTTACGACGAAAAAATCCATCGCATTTTGCGGCGAAAAATAATCAGCCAAAATGCCGTCGCAAATTTCGTTTGCTATGAGGGTTTTTGCGATCGCCTTTTTTCCATCGCAAATTCCATCACAAAGTGTATTTGCGACGGAAATTGCCAATTTTGCGACAAAAAATGTCTGTCGCAAATAGACTATTTTTTTTTTTGGAAATAAAATAGACTATTTTCTAGTAGTGTACCAATGGCGTAGCCACATCCAAGCCGGTAGCAGATGCCTTGGCACCTGTTTTTTTATTACTTATTATATATTTAATTATAATTAAAAGAGGTAAAAATTATAATTTGGCACCACCTAAATAGAAAATCAAATACTCAATACAAAGTAACAACAAACCATCTAAATGCAAACAAATAATAAGGAACATGTATAGTATGATTATTTTTGTGTTTTACCTTTTTTATTTTTTATCCTGTATATATTTTTTCTGCTTTATTCTAATCAGTTATGTTATTTATTCTTACTCCTATTATTTTAAAAAATAAATACTTCTAAACTTAATCACAAAAATGATTAGTTGACCTATTTTAAAATATGGGCCCAATTAAATCAAATAAACATATTTAAAAGTAGGAAAAAAATGTGTGTCCTTTTAAAAGACATAAAGTTGTATCCTTTTAGTTTTTGACATTATATCTTACCTATAAAACATAGTTATAATATAAAAAATTACTTTTTTTTTTCTCTATTTTCTCAGTCACTTTAGCTGACGTGGAGAGAGAGAAAAAAATTATTTTTCATGTTATAAATATTTCTTAACGGTAAGACAGTGTTAAAAACTAAAAGGACACAATTTGTGTCCTTTAAAAGGACAAACACTTAACCCTTGAAGGTAACAATCATGAAACCAAATGAATAACAGGACTATAATTATGGAATATGAAGGTCCATTGAACTCTTGTGTTTTGGGTTATTACACACATAAAGAATAGTCAAAAACCTAATTCCCAAATGTGAGAACTTTTCTTCGTATATATAATTATATAAGTAATTATAATTGGGCCCTAGCTAAAATTGTAAGTTGGCCCTAGCTAAAATTGTAACAGTGGTAACAGATAAAGATATGGAGATGCGTTCCGTGTATGACTAGATGCAGATTTCTTTCTTCTTAATTTCTTCTTCTTCTTTTTTCATCTTTTTCCAATTGAGGTTTTCTTCTAACCTTTTTTTCTTATTCGCATTCACCACCCAGTACCCAACCATTCTGCGACAAGGCACGATGTTTCATTCCTTTCTTCAAGATTTTACGGATACCTGTTCTTGGAATATGCATTGGTAATTATATTGTACGTTGGTGAAAAAAATTGATTTATATTTTTGAACCTTATAAAAGTGAAATTATTTGTCTTTGCTGACCATAATTGTTTATTGGGTGCTTCTAACATGAGTGAAATTCACGCCCCCTTTATTTTATTAACAACTTTTTTTTGTGGTTGTAGTGAATGATTTTATTCCTTTTGAAAAAAAATGGAGTGTTGTTTTACGTTAACTTTTTTAAAAAAAAATTATTTTAATGTAGAGCTACAATTGCTATTGTAATGGAATTGAATTGTTTATTGGTGTTATTTGTATTTTATTTCACAATAAGAATGAGAATTTTGGTTATTAATTAGTGGAAATTGTTAAAGAGAAACATCAATGAAGATATATGTATATATAGAGTATGAAAATTTCTTTTTTTTTTTTGGAGTTACCCAACCCTAATTATCTCTTTGAGACGAGTTGGCTCCCTCCGGTATCCCCACGAGCTTCGACTCTTTGAGCCGGCTATGGGACTAATCCGGAGTGCGGGGGAACAGTGATGGCTAAAGGTTCAGCCCCCTCCCCAAGAATGCATTCAGCGGGAATCGAACACATATCCAACCGCACTAACTCAGCGCCAAGTTACCAACTGAGCTGCACCCATTGGGTAGAGTATGAAAATTTCTTATACATATCTATTAACAACTTCTTCTTTTTTTGTATTTTTAAATTTTTTAAAATATCTAAACACTAATTGAGTGATTTATGTGGATCCAATGTCATTTAAATAATTTTAGACATTTGTCGCTGATTGTTTCATGGTTCTTTTTAGGAAAAAATGTTTCTGCAGATAAGTTATTTGCATTTATTCCCAAAACGACGTCATTTTGGTATTGAAATCTTAAAAAATTATAAATATAAAGACTATTATAACCCTGAAATAAATTGAAATTACAAAAACACCATGATTTCTGCCCCAAAACGACGTCGTATTGGGTTTACTGCAGATAATTTATCTGCAGTAATTGCAGAAAAAGTGAACCATTCTTTTTAATTGTGAAGTTTGTTGTCCCTCCATGTTGATGTTCTTCACAGGTTACGGCTAGGGGTATAAATGGGCTAAGTTAAGCCAAACATTGGCTTTGATAGCTTAAGCCTATGTAAAATATTTGGAACCTATACTGACCTATTAGCTTATTAAATACTTGATTTATGGCCTGACATATTATAAAAAACTAAAAAAACTGAATACGACTTGTAAGACCTACCAAGTTGCAAACAAAAGTTTGTAGACCCAAATCAAATTAAAATTTAAAAAAAATTATTCACAAAGATCACATGAAATCAATTTTCATTAACATAATATGAAATAAGCTTTCATTAACATCACATGAAATAATGTTATCAAAGATCACATGAAAATGTTCAATAAAATCACATGAAAATTTCATATATGTATATATAATTTGCACTTTCTTTATCAATTTTATCTTATATTATAGAGTAAATATCATTTTTGGTCCCTAACAAAAAACACGATTCTCACTTTAGTCCCTTACAAAAAAAATAGTCTCGAAGTCCCTAAGAAATTCAAAGTGGATCCATTTAATTGAAATAGTTGTCCCTCACAAATTCAAAAAAGACTCACATTAGTCCCTCAAAAGAACTAAAATGGATTCACTTTGAATTTCATAAGGACCAACTGACTAATATTTTTTGTAAGGAACTAAAGTGGGGACCGTGTTTTTGTTAGGGACCCAAAAGAGTATTTACTCTATATTATATTCTAAATTTTAAATAAATAACTATTATTTGTTAAAATAACATCGATTCTATTACTTTGTAAATTTTAAGTGAATTTTTTTTCATAATAGATTTGTGTAATTATGAATTTTTTTTTGATAATTTAATATGTCAATTTTTTTGGCCCCGACTAAAATTAAATCCTGGCTCCGCCACTGTTGACTACTTAGCCCGGTCAAGCCCTTCACAATATTTTGCATATTCTCTAATAATGGCAATGCATTAAAGTGTGACAATGGTCCAGGGAATGGTCAGACCTAATATTCAATGGTCCAATGTACATACAAATCACCAAAGGAAAATTAGATATACAGTCCTAGACTAAAATTCAGACATGTTGCCATAATTTGTATCAGATTATGATTACCTTGAAGACGAAACACCCTCTTAAAAGGCGAGATATTTAAAATAAGATTATATATATATATATATATATATATATATATATATATATTTTACAGACAATAAATTGTAATGCCAAAACTATCTTTTTGATAGGGATATGCACTGGCATGATTTTCATGAAATTTTTCCATCTATAAAATTCAAGCACCAGTTTATATATTTAAATTAAATATATATATATATATATATATGTATATATTAAAACAAAAAATATGTAACAACCATTTTATACAAATAAAAAGTAAAATTTCATTTAATGTGCATATAATTCATTACAATGTAATCATGTTATTAGCATATGAGTAAGATACAGAAAATAAAATATAACTCAAATCATAGGTCATCCCACACTAAACCGACCCCTGACAACTCAAGCTCGTTAATCCCTTCACTATATTACCAATTTTACCACCTTAATATAGAAATTCCATATTTCGTATATTATCTAATAATGGAAATGCATTAAGGTTTGACAATTTATGGCGCACAACTTTCAATTTGTTTTTAATATAATACACGAATTTAAACATTGTAAAATATGTGAATTATATATGCCTGGATAAGTTTCTGGCTGGAACCCAAGACTACTTATCAATTTGGACCAAACAAGGAGTCAACGTAATTTCAACGGGTAGGTGAGATAGCTCTTTATAAAGCCCTAGGGTTCAGGGCAAATAGTGAATAAAAGATTCTAATTTCTTATTTCTTTCTTTGTGATTGCGGCTATGACTAGGAAGAAGGTGAAACTTGCCTTTATCTCTGATGCCTCGGCAAGGAAAGCAACGTACAAGAAAAGGAAGAAGGGTATCATGAAGAAGGTGAGTGAACTCACTATTCTTTGTGGGATTCAAGCCTGTGCTATAATTACCAGTCCTTTTGATTCGAAGACCGAGGTTTGGCCAGATCCAGAGGGAGCCAAGCAGGTGATTGAGAGGTATCGGAATGCAGCTGTTGTAGATGGCAGCAAGAATGTGAACCAAGAGAGTTTCATGATGCAGAGGATTGCCAAAGCCCATGACCAGCTGAAGAAGCAGCGTCAGGAGAACCTTGAGAAAGAGATGACCCTAGCTATGTTCAAGTATATGGAAAGCAAAACCCTGCCAGAAGACCTGACTGTTGAGGAGCTGAAAGAAATGAACAGGCTGATCGAGAAGAATATGAAGGAAATTGAAGACAAGATGGCTGCACTTAAGTGATGAGATGTTGTTTGTTGTATCCTAATTCTGCTTGGTGTTTAGAGGCACAGCCGCTGTCTTTACATCGTATTTCTATTTGGTGTTCAGAGGCATTGCCTCAGTCTTTGAGAACATTTAAATAAAACTAATTATAAACTATGTCTTTCTAATTTTCCTAGCAAAAGACCAAGAGATACCGTGTAGTCCATGCTTAAATTTTGGTACTTTAAAGCAATAAGAATCTATTACGATATTAGCATCATAATTCAAGCATAGAAGCATAATTGGAGTTCCAATTTTAAAAGAATTGAAATCAAGTTAAAATTATAACTATAGTGCTTAGATTACATAATCATTATTTAAATTGTGGTTGTGGCCACATCGTGGTCATTGTCGCATTGCAGGCCAATACAAAATTTATACCATCCGCAATCATAGTACGATGTGGTTGTGGTAGTCGCCGCAATCGAGATGTTGAGGCCGCAAATAGGAAGCAATCCACAATTTAAATACCTGATTATTTGGGTAAAATTTTGTTAACAACAACAACAACCAAGACTTGGTGTAGTCCACTACATAAATTAAATAACACCAATAGGCTTCATCGAAAATAAAAGTTTCAATAAATCGATTGAGAACAAGGAATTTTTTAGTGGTTTGTCCTAAAGTTTTATGTGGTCTCCTTTTACCCATTTTAATTGAGCTACCTTTCTTTTGATCAACTTTTCTCCCACATGTGACGATATTCTATTCACGACCAAACCACCTTCAACAAGCATATGTTATTTTCTCCTAAATAAGTATGACTCCAAATTTCACTTTTTGTTTCCAATCTTATCTTTTCTTGTATGTTCACTCACCCACTTCAACATTTTCATCTTTGCTAAACTTAAGGGTGTGCATGACAACCTTCCCGAAATGAGTTTTTTTTTTAATTTCTGTTCCTGAGAATAAAAATGGATGAGAAACTTGTATGGTAAAAGCAGTTTATTTTTTTGTTCCCATGATGAACCGGTTTAATTTTTATGCCGGGGAACAAAAAAAAGAATAAATTTTTTTTTGCTTTTCTCATTCCTGGCACAAAAATAGAATCAGTTTTCCCTCTCTCTTCTTCCTACCCCCTCACACGCCAACACCAAACCATCATCGGCCTTCAACATATCACCAGACCACCACCCTCCTTCACCGCGGAAGTTCTTCTTTTCTGACCTGTGATTAGAATTTGAATTTGAAAATTTTTGGGATTTTTAAATTGGGGCTAGGACTCTTGAATTTCTAAATAGGTGCTTTTGTGTTTTGGTTGAAGTGGTATGCAAATGATGAAATGGTTAAAGAAGAACGGTGCATGAATGAAAGAATTGAAAAATGAATACTTCTACCACAGTGTGAAAAGGATTGGACCAAGAAACCCTTTCTTTCTTTTTTCCTCCTCAACTAAACAGAACGACGGTGCCTTATAAAATGGCTACAAACAACGAAGGTTTGGAGCCAGCAAAGCAGAGGTCCATCTATGGGCTCCACACCACAATGCTACAAACTAGGAAAATATTTTCGGCAGGTGATTGTTTACTTTTCTATAATCAAAAGTAAAGAAATAGTTTTGATTCTCGGAATAAAAAAAAAATGTGTTATCAAACGTAATTCTGATTCTCGGAATAAAAATAAAATATGTTAACAAACGTAATTCTGATTCTCAGAATTGTTCCAAGGCACAGAAATAGAAAAGAATCATTTCTTTTCAGAAACAGTAACAGAAATCAGAATGATTGTCATGCGCAGCCTAAGTTGTTGGTGGGATTTTCCTTTAAGTTGGTAGGTACCACAAAATCCTAAATTACGCCTTAAGTATTTATCCCTTTCAATCCACCTAGCTTGAATCCTATTTATAGCATTATCTCAATCTCCCTATCATACTGTAACTAATAAACCCATGTCGTGCAACTTGTTGTATGATGTGATCCAAGATACCTCCAAAACAGTGCTAACTCGTATCTTGCTTAATTTGCATCCCACTATCTTATACCTACTTGACTGAATACTCTTTGATTTCGAAGCTTATACTCACCGACTAGGATTATATCATCCGCAAAAAGCATACATTGAGGAAGCCTACTAAGTGTTAAAATGTAGATTGTTTAATTATTGTTTATTAGTCCCACATCGAGTAAATAGGGACAGAGCCCAAGCCCATGTACTCTATTATTAAAAATATGTCTTGTGTGATCACATAACATTAGACACATAAGTCATTAAATTTGAGTTGGTATTAGAGCAGATTGTTGTTACCAGATGACTTACATCTCGAGCTTGGTTTAGCCTTTCTAGCTCAGTTGTTCAAGCTTTTGATTTAACTCGTAGCGAAGTCGATCACTCTATCTTTTATCAACATGATTATTTTAGTCAATGTACCTCCTAGTCTGTATTGATGACATTATCATCAGTGACATCGATCAAGTTGGAATTGAACAGCTAAAACGACAGTTATCCAGTCAATTTCAAACCAAAGATCTTGGCAAGCTCCGTTATTTCTTAAGCATTGTGGTAGCACAATCCAGGCAAGGCATCTCTATCTGTCAAACAAAGTATGCCTTGGATATCTTGGAGGACACTAGTATGTTGGGATGAAAGCCTATCGATACACCCACGAACTACCCAAACAAGGGGAGCCATAGGGGACCCGAGTTGACTATATCTTGAGAGAGAATGTAGATTGTTTAGTTATTATTTATTAGTCCCACATCATGTAAATAGGTTCGAAGCCCATATACTCTATTATTATAAATATAAACCTTGTGCGATCACATTAGACACACAGTTCATTAAATTCAAGTGCGAGTACATACAATATTAAGGTAAAAAAGTATGATCTCAAAGTTTACCCTTGGTGGAATCCAATCGTTATAGGAAATTTATCTATTATCCATCCATGCATTGGCACAATAGTTGGTACCTCATCACCTATTGAGACCCTATACTAGGCTAGGAGTTATGCTCCCCTAATCAGCCCCTATTTAACATATTGGACTAAAATAATTCTGAAGATGACATTTTGCTTCCAAAAACCTAGTTAGTCCTTTGGTACTTCACAAACAAAGTCCTTAATAGAAAATGGTTGGGCTTTAGATAGAGAATGTGGATTTTTTGCTGCCTTTCTTTGATCACATTCTCTATAATTGTGAATAGTGAACCTAAATCTTAGTTTTGAGGTAAGAGGGAAGTTAGGCAAGGAGACTCTAAATCCCATTTTCTTTCACCTTAGATATGGATGTTTTGAGAAGGATAATCTGAAGAGTTACAAAATATTAAATGGGGATATGACAATGGTCTCTCACTTTAAGTTTGCAAATGACATTATCTTACTCTTGGAGGACAAAGCAACTTTCTTAATGATCTTTCAATTTTTGAAATGATCCAAATTAATGGTTAATTTGTTCACTTGTAGCATTGGGAGCAGCATTAATGTAGAAAACTAAACCCTTATATCTCTAGGTAGCTTAGATTCTATTCAGATATCGTAGTGTCTCTTACTAATCTAAGTTACCAAATTCGGTCTGTTGCTTTCAAAACTCTGTTGTTAAGAATATTTCCAAGCGTCTGGACATTTCGAAAAGGGTCTTTCTTTCATTAGGTATCTCTATAACCCTTATGAAGACTTGTTTATCTAGTATTTCTTTTGTGGATTCCGATTGAGGTTGTTTAAAGAACTAAGAACATCAAAAGTTGATTTTCATTAGTCAAGAGCGGAAAGGAACATAAGTATCATTTAGTTAATTGGGAGATATATTGTAGGCCAAAGGATGAGGAAGCTTTGAGTCTTGGCAATTTGGTTTCCATAAATATTGATTTAGTAGCTAAATGGCTATGGTTATTTGACTATTTTTGTCAAGAGACCATGGCACCTGAGAGTTGCACCAGAATGGGTGAGATGTTGATTCCAACCTTATGACTTAAACAACTCATTCCAGTGCTTGTCTCCTTTATAGGTGATCCCTCTAAAGATGGGAGATGGCTCTTGCATTAGATTTGCGGAGGACCTTTCATTATGCAATACTCCTCGTCTTCCATTACTCAGTAGTGACATATATTGTCACCTTTAGTAATTACAATTCCTCTTCCTCTTACAGATTTTTCTGCATTTATCTCCTAATATAGATAAAAAAGAGTTTGCATCATTTATCCTTTAGGGGAATGTTCATGTATATCCTTTCATTTCCTTACCCACTCTTCAAATAGAAAGAATTTTCGCAGATAAATCCCACTTGAAGTCCAAAGTTCCTTCCATGGTTAAGTTTTCATATGGACTAAGACACTGAACAAGATTAAAACTAACGATACGTTATAATTTTCACGACCTTACAAAACTGCTTTGCCTGATGTGTTTTAAGCTTGGCTCTAGCTTGGATCCAATCAACAATTCTATTATGGCATTGTTATAGTTCATATCAAAAGTATATTTATTACATTAAATGCAATTATATTAATTATAGGCAATCAAGCAATTTTAACAAAATAATTAACATATTATAAACATTCCTTTGAGCAAAGTATATATATACAATTATCTCACATTATTTAAAATTTCATCTTCGTGTATGTTTCAAAAAATACTACTACAATAAACCACTTTGGACATATAATTGCAAACAATAATTTTTACCAATAAAGAACTCTAACAATTCACAAATAATATGAAAAACCTTATAACATGTGTATCTAGAATTCATGTTACATTAACTAAACCATAATTTATGTCACAAATTTAAATTTCCAATATCAACAATTATATACTTTAGCTCACTACTCAAACTTAATTGATAAAGCACATAAAATCTACGCTAAAATTAGGAGAGTAAATACTAATATTATAATCCTATAATCTATAATAATTTTCATTAATTAAAATTAAAAAAAAAGATCATAAATATTTTTCACAGAATCAAACATGAATAAGAGCTCATAAAATTAAATATGAACGAGAGCAAATAATTTCAAATAAATATTTATGTATATAAAAAATTAAAATTTCAAAATGAATCAAACATATTTTCAAATCTATTTAAAGGAACTAAAATAGGAATTCATTATTAAGGGAAAACACGTATGCATTAGAATAAATTAAAGGACAATATACACATTCAATTTAATCAAGATATTATAATGAGGCCCAACATAATAGTACATTCCTCTTTTGGAAGAATGCACTAACCAAGGTTAAACC